CGATTTTCCAATCCCTGTCATTTTGGAACACTTTTCCACGATGTCGTCAACACTGTTGGTAGGATTTTGGTGTTTCAATGCATTAAATACATTTAATATAATAATCTTCTCATTCTGAGACAGCGCACATCTTTTCACGCGTTTAGCAGGTACGTAATCTGATAAGCTCGACATTTTACCCAAACAATATTATATCCACTGGCACAATAGTCACTAAACACAAATCGAATTTTACTCTACTGCACACGTCTTCGTATATTCAACTCTAAGACTGGATTGATCTGTCACAATACACTGGCTCCTACCCTATGATGTATCCAGTAAAATATACTAATGTACACCCATTACCTGTTAGCATTAGTGTTACCCGACAATTACCTGAAACGAAATATTACCACGCTCATGGCCGGTTCTTATCTCGGGGTTTTATTACTCTCTTTCATTTCCAAACAGACTATAGCAGCATTAAATAACAAATAAATCTGTCAATTTCAGTTAATCAACTTCCTGTTTCTATGCATTTTTAACACACTTCCCCTCTCTTATTTCGTCCCTAATAATTTCGCCACATATCTGTGTAATTTTATTTTCTAAACCTTTCTAGTGCGAAGCTTGTTATAATTTTTTTTCCTTTTGGTGCTCTAGAAATCAAGATAATTATCTTTATTTGTTTACCTTGTATTATCTGATGCGAATATAAGTGAAATTTCGATAATTGTTAAAAGCAGATAGAAAAAGCTTGTCCAACTTCCATAGTTTTAAATTTAATTGTTAGGCTAAAGTAAAAAAATTAATGTTTGGGTTTGAGCATTTTTAAAGATATTTTATTCAAATTTCGATTAAAAAATCGTTATTATAAACTTTTTTAAAAATTCACCAATTTTTTCATTTTAAAATCAGACATCTATGATCAAAGTCAAATTTGGTTGTATTAAAATAATTATATGTATTTATTTCCTACTAAAATGTCAAAACTTATTAATTTAGGATAACTGAGATGTAAGGGTGGCTCCATGAAAAGTGAAACACAGTGTATATGTATGTATAAATCATGTTTCTCTTTAGAAAACTTACGCAAAATTCTAAAACAAAAATCCTATGTCTGAAATTCAACGATTTCTAAAAGGTCAAATGTTTTATTTATAAATGTTGTTTGTCTGTTTCGTACAGTCTTTAAAATTAACCTAAGTCAAAATTAAAGACAATATTTTCACAGCAAATTTATTAAAATAATACAATATCACATTTCCTTTTTGTATGTTTTGCTATTACCTTTTTATATGCTTGCTGTTACCTTATATATGTTTGCTATTACCTTATGTATGTTTACTATTGCCTTTTGTATGTTTGTGATTACCTTTTTGTATATTTTGCTTCAGTCTCGTTATACTTAAACTATATGTTGCATCCTTTCCCTGTTTCAATAACTTTAGTATTAAATTTTCAGGTAAACACAGATTAACATCTTGTATTGAGTTCTTCTAGTTTTAGTTAACACCAATCATTTTTTTTTCTGTTGGATGTTGTATTTAGTTTTCATTATACTTACTGATTTTTACAAATATAAGCGACCTGCTTTTCTTGTAAAATCGTAATTTTTGTTATCTGATTAAGATAGGCGCCAATTAAAATTATTTTTATTAGAAATCACACTCTTAATTTTATCCATTAATGTTCTATCGTTCGTTATCGTAATTTTAATGGTATTATAAGTTTATATTTTATCATTTACTGTTGTTATTATTATGCATACCAAATTTAGAATGTGCTTCAATTAAGCCTTACTGATAAACTAATGTATGCTTTTATAGCAAGACTTCTTTTTATACAGGCACATATTTGTACGGTTAAAATAGTGTCGATAGTATTGTAGTATCCCAGCTAGGTCTCAATTAGAATCGGAAATTCTTATGTCAGTAGTTACATAAACTCATGTTTTATGCGTGAGTCACTTTATAAGATTCCGACTTTTCCTGCAATTCAGATATGTTGATTATTGGAAACTAAAAGAAATCGGGTTTTTTGCATATTCAGGAAAAAATTAAAATCATTATAATGTGCATCTGTGCGTCACACCGATAAAATTTCATTGGGAAAATCGAAGCTTTCCAAATTAAAATTCAGTCTATTAAAAATTGTTCCTTTATGGGAAATTGTAGAAAATCAATATAATATTATTAAATCGTTTATAGGTATAGGGTTATCTAGAATGTATTCTCTTCATTTGTTTTTCAATGACAGCATTTTTGTTTGTTGATTCAGTTATATTATATGTTTTAACCTCAACGGAAATGATGTTTCCGTCTTTTTCCATTGACGTGTAATTAATCGTAAATGTTTTTTTTCTTAACAGTTGTCATTTTATACATTGTTTACTTTAATTATCATAGTAGGCTGAGGTTCAAATTGTTTTAATTTCGCATTAGGCGATAGATTTAACAAATGAATTTTTCTGTTCTGGTTAAAAGAAGACAATTTAGTAACAGTAAACATTACTGCATTTTTTTTCCGTTTGCCGTTCGCATTCTCACTCATGTGAAACATCATTGTCTTTATTGTACCATTGTACCTCTTTATCTAATTCGTTGTGTTTTACCAAAAAAAAAACATATTCGCATGTCGACTACTATATTATTCTGTTTAAGCAAATAGGTATGTCTATCGATGATGTGA